TACTCTGTTTAGAAGGATGAGGGTGAGAGGGGTATAAGTAACAGCACACACTCTCCACAAGTGAAAGTAACCTCTAGTAAATCAGACTTTAAAATTACCAATAACAAAGTTAATAATGTGTTACTATCACACATTAAACAGAAACTAGATGGAAAAAAAATCATCTACCCATTTTACAGTCACATACACTGTGCTCTTCTTTCACTCTGAATATCTCAAAGAAAATTATTAACTCCATTATTATGAACATATTGCAGCCTACTGCACATGCTCCAGCAAATAGCCATCAGCATTATGATGCAGAGGTGATTGCAGAGCATATATTTTATATCACTCAGCCTTTATTCACTGAACATTTAAATATATCTGGTTTATTTGTAAAATTACTGTCTCCAGTGTTTAAGATCTGGCTTAGGCTTGCTTTGCAGAACACCTCTGACTTCACACTAAACTCAGTGTACTACTATTACCTCTCTTGTTACAGATAAAAACATAATTCAGTGTTGAATCTAACACAAACAGGATCATTATGTTTAGAGAGTGTTCCAAAGCCTGCTATCCAAGCAATCTGTGGCATATAAATAATGCAAGACCTCTTCTTTCTCCAAATGACTTCAGTTCAAGCAGAGACTCAGAAAGATGGAAGCCCAAATTTATACTGCCATTACAAAATTCAATCTATTTCTGGTTCTCCAATTGAATTATGACTCAGAGGCTTACACTGTTTTCTGCACCCACCCACATGCTCCCAGCCTTTGCCAACCCATGCAGGAAAAAATCCCATTTGTGAATATTCCTGAGCTTTATTATTATATTAAAATGGCAGCAAATCCCAACTAATCTGAAAAGCTTCATGTTTTCTTTTAAAGGAAAGCAAGGTAGAAAATGGGTGTTATTTCCCCTCCCCCCTGACCTCTGAACCACAACCTCCTCGCCACTAAAGCGTTCAACACCTCATTTAATCTCTCCTCGCTGCACTGGCACAGCACTGCAAAAGGAAAAGGGAAAAAAATAATCTGGGGACTTCATCAATTTTTCATGAATTTTCATTTAGGCCAAAGCCCCCATAACAGTGGTCGATAGATCAAGCTGCTGTCACATATTTAACACCTGGAGCTCCAGCTGCTCTCCCTGGGGGCTGCCGCTGAGTCCTGCTGGATCAGAGGCAGCCCTGGCCAGCGTGGGGACCCTCGCGCTCCATCCCCATCGCACATGTGGCGCCCCGGTGCTCCCAGCTGAAATCCAAGCTACGCTCGCTACTGCAAATGTGTCTCCTGATATTCCCCCTGGAAAACTCCACCACGTCGCTTCCATCGCCTCAACTGGTGCATTGTTAAAAAAAATGGGCTTTTATTGTAAGACTCCTGGTGTTTGAATAAGAAAGCAGTTTGGTGAAAGATCAAACTCTTTCCAACCTACTTCCCTTTCTAAATTCTCCCCCAAGAAAATTTGAACATCAACATATATCAAATAATGCCAACTCTTGTTCAATTTCAATTAAAAAATTCTAATGGAGAAAATGAAAAGAAAGATATTTTAATCTTTTGAATACAATTCTTCATAGAGTTTTAAGACTAGAACATCTGTTTTTAATGATTTAACCATGAAACAAAAACACTACATGAGAATTTGCCATGTACAATTTGGAAGACTTGTTTGACTGGTAGCATTTGCATTATTTTTTCCTCCTAAGGAAGCTCTGACTGAAGAATTAATCTGCATGAAGCACACCAGGATTTAATGCATTAAAACAATTAAATGGAGTGAGTTGTATCAATCCTAAACTGTGCCTTCAAATAACAACTTTTTCTTCAAAATTCCAACTATTTCCTCTTAAATGTCTTCTGGAATGAAGATATTCTAAATTAAATGCAAAAATATATTAAAAAACATTTAATATATTAATGATGTTTTTTAAGTAACTTTCCAAATGACAGTTCTTCACAGTTTTACTAGCATGGAAAAATTTTCCTGAGGATATACATCAGTACAAGAATACTTGCCTAGGACTGTATGCAAGTGCTCTGAAGAGGCATGGATTTAGAAGCATACCTTATGTGCCTTAAAATGGCTGGTACCTAAATTCTTCATGCTTGGGAAAGAGGTAAACTGTTACCCAAGCAAAAAGAGCTTAGGGATTTCAGCAACTTGAAAAAACTCACTCAAAAAAAATAAAACACAAGGGTCAAATGACTGTTCAAGATGGTTTGAACCATTCTGTGTCCCAGGTGAATTTAAATTCTGTCTTTACACAGAAATATGTATACATCAGAAGATTTTCAATCCCACGGTTTTGTGGCAGGCACCCATGGAGGGGGTGAAAAAAAAGAAAAGAAAATTAATCACAACACTGTTTATCATATTAATGCACAAGCACAAACACATCTAACACATATACAAACCCAATAAATATTTCTTCATAAATCACTCAAAAGTTACAAGAGCATATTAGTAACTGCCAGTTTAATAAGAAAATTAAATCAAGCACAGTTTCTTACTCTAAAGCAGCACACTCAAGCACTGTAAACCTGTGAAAAGCAGCAGTTTGCTCCTCATGGCACTATTTGAGGCCACCTACAGTCAGATAATAACCCATAACTCTGTTGTCAGGAAAGGACAACCATCCTGTTTGTGGTGATGAAAACAGCTTGGCAGGGTGTGGAAAGAAGAGTTTTCAACACCATGACAGAGAGCACGAGTCAGACCGGATCGTGTGCAGCCCCAAGGACAGGGCTGCAGCATCCAGGCAACTCAACAGTTTTCCAGCAGGAGTTGAGGACAGGTGAATGGGGACTCACTGCTGACAACAGCCTGTCACCAGCGACTCATTTCCTAAGTGGGCAAATGGGCTGCTACAGACCTGCCCATCTTCTTCAGCCCAGAAATGCTGACAGCAGAAAAACAAGTAAGAGACTCCAATTTTTCCCTGAAACTCACTCAAAAACCAGATTTACAACCAAAAATTATATCAAAATTATATCAAAAAACTATTTGCTGCAATCTTCCAAAGGATGCCTTTAATACACACCAGGCACTGCTATGTGTTTTTAAAAATCACAGCAGAATCTCTAAAATTAAATAAACAAGCAATGTATGTATTACATGTTTTTCTTTGATGAAGACCTTTCTGTAATTGCAGCCATGGTACTGCTCAAGGAAAGATAAAGCACTGTTGAAGTGAAATAGGAGAGCCTGTTTTAGACTGCTAAACCCTTTAACTGGGGGATTCAGGCAGTTAAATTTCAAAGCTATCAAAACAGTAAAAGCACAATGTTATTGCAAAAACTTCAGCTATGGTTTCATATCTCACTTTCACATTCACATTGCTCCTGCCCTAAAATAACTGACAAAGGAGAACAGCTTTATTAAAGTTTGCTACTATCTCACATATGATTCATGCCTGATCTGACACCAGCTACAGTGGTTGAACAAACTCCAGAGACCGGAGATGGTGTAACAAGAGTCTCACAATAGTCAATGAGCGAGGGATCAGTGAAAACTGACAAGACATTGAGCATATTTAAATTTTAAAATAATCAGTCACTTCAATTTGATGACTCAGGGTACAACTGGAACAATCCTTTGAACTTCAATAGGAGATCCTGAATCTCAACAGGATTAGAACAAAAATTTCAAGTGTTTATGTATCTCTCTTAGGATTTCTCATCAGTTAAAACAGATGTAGAAAGACACAAATAATCCAATAAATTTATCTTGTAATACTCACCCAGATTTCAGCCTTCCTTAAACTGTTTTTTCCTCAACTCCCAAATACCAACCAAAACTGAAAAACCTTCTGTGATGCATTTACTGGCACATTAATTTCTGCTTTGATAGTGCACCAAAACTGTTTTCATTTTTTGACACAGTTTTGAATCTCGGTTACAACAGGTGAAATGTAGTGAACAAGTCTGTTCTACCCCATTTACATATTTCAAAAATGGCATTTTCTGCAATTTCTGAGAAAACAGAAGCCTTTAGATCACACCATATTAGGTATGAAAGTCTGAAGACTGCATTAGGAACAAATATTTCTGTGTCTCCCCCCTTTAAACATACCATTTACTGTGGACTTAATCCATTCTTTATCAACTAAGAAGTACAAATTTGTTCTAAAGCCCTACTTGAAACACACTTTTAGGGAAACTACTGTCAGATGAAGAGCTGTGGATGAAAAACTAAAGCCCAGCAAGAAGAGAGCACTCATAAATCTATTAATATACAGGTCTATGTGAAGATGCACATTCTGAATGAAAAGATCAGTGTTGATTCAACATATATAACTAAGCAGCAAAAAAAACCCCAACATGCACAACTGATTATATTTTATGTCTGATTGTTTGCTGAGAATATAATGAATGTATCTGCTAACTCTGCTGGAAGCAGACTACTCATGCCAGGTGGGCTCTGAAAGAGCCCTGTTGACTTCTCTGTTAAGACAAAGAGAATCGATCAAGACCACGACCACTCTGGATGATATGAGAAATGGCCAACAATTTCACTTGCCATCCACATAATGAATGAGGCCTGGGTCAAATTTATGATCAAGGAGCATATATTGAGGTTTCCAGCAGTACAGAACATGAGTCACCAAGATGCTGTCTGCTTCTGTTGAGGTAACAGATGATGAGATAAAGAGAAACAGACAGCGCACCTTAGATTAAATGATAGGTATTTTTCCATATTAGTTCCAGTATAACCAACTCTAGACATCATTTAAAAATTAGATTATTCTTCAGGGGAAGATTATCCTCTGTCCAAGTTTGTGCCAATCATGATTATACTCTGGCTAGAACCTCATTTCAGTATAAATCACTTATTCTGTATGGTCACTGCTACTGAACAAACACATATGAAAATGCCTTGACTAAGAGCAACAGCTAATGACAAAATGCTGTACTTATCCCCGTTTGTCACCTCGTTTGTTATCCAGGATTCTGGGTGACAGCATAAAAGCCACATGAAGTTTCACAGAATACCAAACCAATAAAACTACTCACATGCCACTTCCAGAGACGCATTGCGACTCACAGCTTCTCCAAGGTAGTTCCTTGCTACGCAAACATAGCTTCCCTCGTCAGGTTTACTCCTGCGCCCGTGCACGATGCGTAAGAAAAATAAAGATCCGCTGGGCAGCAGCATCCGGTGGGAGCGCGGATCGTCCTTGTCCGTTTCCACCCGCTCGCCATCCTTGTACCACTCGATGGTGGGGGTTGGCCGTCCCTCTGCCTTGCAGTTCAGAGTAGTTGGCTCTCCTTTAGACACTATCACATCTGAAGGATGCTCAACAATCCGTGGTGGAAAGTCCTCTTGGCGGAGACGGGATCCTAAAGAAAAGAACAGAGCACAATTTATTTGTGCCTTAGGCATCACAAAGGGCTCTCGCAACTTATTCCTTTAATGTTACAAAAAACAACAAACAAACTGATACAGCATTTGAAATTGCTTTGTCTGATATCAGAGGCTGAATCAGACACTCCCCTACTTAAACACCTGAGATGGACTAACAGAGATAAAACAACCCTTTATAGTGTTATCAAACCCATACCAGATGCAGACTGTGCTTAGAGGAGGATCCCTTACATATACAAGGATGACAATCTTTATTTTTTTTTTTTCTGATAATCTTCCTATTTACATTTACTTCTAGATCACTATGTGCTTCCAGATTCCTCTCATAGCTACTACTTTCTCATCCTTTCATCTGCCAGATTCAATAGGAGGACATCCAAAACCACAGTATCTTACCATCCCCATTAGTTAACAGTTCTTTGAAGTTTAACATGTATGCTTTATCCCTTTTCCACAAACAGTCCCAGTAGAGAAAGAGAAGGCAAAAAAAGAAAGCCAAAAGGGAAATCTCAAATGTCAGCTCACTTTAGAAATTTTCAGTTTCAGGATTCCATGTACAGACACACACACATAAATACAATATAGGCAGAGCATCATAAAATGGCCTGGGTTGGAAGGGAGTTTAAAACTCATCTCATTCCAACCCCCTACCATGGACAGGGACACCTTCCACTAGACCAGGTTGCTCAGCGCTCAAATACAGCTTTAGCTTGAACACTTCCTTGGCATTAATGGTACAGACACTCTCACTCCTGAATATCTAATTAGACTATATGAGCCTGGAAAAATGTTTATGCAACAGTCACAGCACTTTTTGCCTTTCCATTGTGTCTCAAAAATAATCTTTTTTAGCATGGATCCTGAAAATCCTTTGAGTGGAGGTGCCATGCTGCTCCAATTGGTCTGCACTTCTTAAATATAAGGTAAACCAGCTTCTGCAGGTTAGCGAAACATTTGTCTCAATTTTCTGATCAGCAGTTTTGCTGAGTTGTAGAAAAGCAATTTAACATCAATGTCCTAATTATATTCTAGGCTCTACATACTTTAAAATATTTTCACTGCCTCATTTACTACAAAAGTTATGAGGAAAAGCATAAGGATCCATTCAGCAGAGTGAATCCACCTTTGGACTCCTGTTTTACTAACACTCAGGTCATTAAACTAAGGCATGCCACCACAGTTAAGTGTTACATTGCTGTTGCACAAATTGGCTCTTTCAGAGGCTTCCAGATTCTATTACCAGAAGAACAAAGAAATACATAATCTGCAATGCCTGTACATGAAAAAAACCCATATTCTGTAGCTAAGCACAGATAAACTTACAGGACATTTGGAAGATATATTTTATTCTCACTTCTACCAACAAAAAAACCAAAACAAAATAAAAAAGCAACAACAAAAAAAAACCCAACCCAGAACTAATAGGAGAATCTCCAGTTAAAAAATAACCCTAGTCCCTGACCCCATACACAACATCAAAAAAGACTGAAATCACCATTAAAGTAAAAGATAAACATCTGACAGCACATGGTACTAAAAAGTCAACTTCATACTCTGATTAGAATCATTTATAATACTCCAGACACAAGGCTACCAACTTAATTTATCACTTATTCTCAAAATGCAAATGAAACCCCACTAGCTGTGTTTAGAAAATTCTATTAACAGTATCAGGAAGAAAAGGAAAGCTAAGATGTTTCTACAAAGTGAGAGGGACTTAAGGCAGAGAACAGATACAACTGAATTATGATAATTATTTAACACAGGGTAACAAAATTAGTAGCAAGAAATGCAAAACAAATCCAAAATATCAGTTTTCTTGCACACAAAGGTTTGTTGATAGCGTTCAGAACTCCTGGAAGTATATCCTACCCAGACTTACAGGCCATGTTTAAAGCTGTGCAAAAAGCTCTCTCCCATAAAAAAGTTAACCTTGTACCTTATACAACCCAATTAAAAAACCCTCTTCAGGTCACAATAGCACTCATTCTTCCTCTTCAGTACTGATGTTTATCATAAAACTAGTGCTTACTCACTCTATCCTAATTAAGCAATTTGTGCAGAAGATAAGGTTGAGATATGAGCAGCAGGGACCATGCCAATGTGCAAGGAAAAAGCTCAGGAGGTGTTCCAAGAACAATCAGACCACACATTACTGTGATGGCTGGGCTCACCTTCAGCTCTCCAGGGCTACAAGGAATTCCCCTCATCAAGCACTTAGAGAAGGGAGGAAGCAAAACACACACAAGATCATTCACAGAGCACATCAAGCTCCCTCTTTCCAAAGTGAACTGAGCACCAACAGGTATTCCCTAAGGTTAAGCTGATTTAGAAATAAATCAGGAAAATAAAGAAACAAAACCAGAAACTTGGCTTCACTGCCTGTCTTTAGACACTGCCTACGTATCAGAAAGAGACAGACACAAGTGGTTTTTGATTCTAGTTTTGATTCCTTCACTGTGGTCCCCCCCAACTTCTCCCACAAGCGCAACTTCATTTAGAAGGAACAGCAATTCTGTTAACCCCATGAGCTGTCGGGGCAGAGGATACTTTTACTGCAGAGCAAGATGTAAGCATGACCTAAAGCAGGCAGATATGTGTATCCTGGGTTACCCATAGAGCTCCCTTTTCCATTCCTCCCCCAGGATTTCCATCTGGTGCATGCCAAGAGCATATGAGCAACTGCTGAGTTTAGGAGCGCTTAAGTCTTTACTATAATAGACTGCAATGACTTCACATGAGCTATTACATGCTGGTGGGCAAGACCAAAATTCCTACAATATTAGAATTGTTGGAGCTATTCCACAGGAGGGTTCCAGTGCCTCACCACCCTCAAGTCAAGAATTTCTTCCCAATATCTAATCTAAACCTATTCTCAGTTTAAATCATACCCCCTTGTTTTGTCAATTCAGGCTCTTGTAAAACATCTCTCTCCATCTTTCCTCCAGGAAAACTCCCTTCAGGTACTGCAAGGCCACAATTAGATCTCCTCAAAGCCTTCTCTTCCCCAGTCAGAAGAATCCCCATCCTCTCAGCCATTCCTCACAGCAGAGCTGCTCCATCCCTCTGATCCCCTTGGTGTCTCCTCTGGCCCGGCTCCAGCAGCTCCCTGTCCTTCCTGTGCTGGGAGCCCAGGGCTGGATGCAGCCCTGCAGGTGGGGTCTGAGCAGAGAGGGGCAGAGGGGCAGAATCCCCTCCCTGCCCTGCTGCCCACGGGGCTCTGGATGCAGCCCAGGACATGTTTGGCTTTCCAGGCTGCCAGGGCTCATGGCCAGCTCATGTCCAGCTTAATAGCGTGCTGTGGCATATTTATGCATGATTAAATTTATCATCACTTTAAATTGAACATTGAGTTATCAACTTACATTGCCTAAGATACTGCAATAAAATGTTTTGTCACTTCAACAAACACAGCTTTCATTTTCAGACATCAGAGCCTGCTAACTACTGATAATTGCTGGCCTGAGAAATGCTGACTGATGGGAAACACTGTAGTTCTCATAATAACTGGTGACACTATAGATGTGTCACTTCACAGGTAAAGGACGCTTGCATTCATACCTACCTTTACATGAATCATTTCTGCAGCAGTCATTGCTAATATCCTTTGAGGTCAGGACACTGAACACAAGAAGCCCACCCTCACACTGGAACCAAGCAAGAGAAGACTGCTGGGGGACACTTTGTCACAAAAAAGCAATAGAAGGCTCCAGTTATATATGTGCTGTCCCTGTCCAGCACACATATTGAAATAAATTCACCAATTCTTCTTACACTCTCCTTCCTAGCTTATTAATTTATGTACTTGCATATTCCTAATCAAAGTAGGGAAAGAAAGTAAGAAAAGTGAGGAACATTGACAAAAGCAGACAAAAAAAAATAGCCTTCATATTGTACTTCAGCTGTCAACACTCTGCTCTTCCAGTCCCCTACTTTAACTTAATTCAGATGTGTTGGACAAGACATACCCTGAGAATCACCTCCAAGACTGCTCTTTTGGGAAGTGTAAAAAACAACGATCACCCACTCATTTTGACCACCTCAACATCAGGGTGCCAACTAAGTCAGGTTGTCTCCCACAACTACCACCCAATCTCACAGATCTGCTTTTATATGCTCAGACTTCCTCACAGGTCTCCTCAGGGATCCGGTGTACCATATAATTACAGCATCACTAGTAGCATATAAACAGAATGCCTACTATTATAAGTTTAGCCTGGTTGATCCTATAGTCAAATGACCCTAAAAAGTTAATCAGATGCAAGAATTTTATTAATAAATGAAATAGATTTGCTGTAGACACACAGAAGCAATGAGGAAAGGAGACTAAAGCAAAGAGTCAATGCTCTATTCTTTCTTACTGCATTTTCTCAGAGTCATTATGCAAGCCAGATCCTAAGAGGAACCACAGAATGGTCTGGGTCCATAAAGATCATCTAATTCCCTGCTATGATTTGACCAGGATGCTTAGAGCTGTGTCCAAACTTCCAGAGATGGGGCATCCACAGCTTCTCCAGGTAACCTGTTCCAGGGCATCACCACCCTCACAGTTAAGAATTTCTTCCTAATATCTAATCCAAATCCACTCTCTGTCAGTTTAAAGCCATTCCCCCTTGTCCTGTCACTCCATGCTCTTGTAAAAAGTCTCTCTCCGTCTTTCTTGCAGGCTCCCTGCAGGTGGGAAGGTCTGGAAAGCTTCAATTAGGTCATGTGCTGCCTGTGTAACATATACAGATCATCATAGAAAAAGGCATTTGACAATTCACTTTCTAATCCTCCTAGTCCACTATCTTTCAAATTTCTAGGAAGAGACTTTCATTTATTGCACTTCACACTCATCCAATTTTAATTTATTTCACATAAAGACCAAACACTGATTTAATCTATTAAGCCTTCTCTCTAAATAAGCATCTACAAAGCTAATGGTCTGTCATACCAGAAAAGCAACAGTACAGGCTAAATAGAGACATTTTCT